GTGTGTGTGTGTGTGTGTGTGTGTGTGTGTGTGTGTGTGTGTGTGTGTGTGTGTATGAGAGACAGGCTGCTGAAACAGTTTAACCCTGACACACACACACACACACACACATTGACAGAAGCTACCCTGACTGCTACTGGACAGGAATAAAAATAAAAAAAAAACACAAGAATGACTTCAAACTAAGGAAAAGTGCTTTTTCTTTCTAACAACCCACAATTTGAATTATTTATAAACACAAACACACATCAAGCCCACAAATATTTTTTTTAAAAAGTCAACAAAAACTCTATTCAAGAACGTTAAACACACCTTTTCCTCTCTCATAACCCCTGTCCTTCACCTCTTTTAGCTTCACCAGAGGGCCCCCCTCTTTAAATAACACCACCCACTTTGCATCCACCTTCCACCCCGCGGTGCACAGATACATGCGCACTCATGTTCCACCGTTACATCAGAGGCTGCTCAAATATTTAGCGCCCAGCAGAAATGATGTTTCTAAATTATTCACTCCTCTTCCGTTAACACTCGCACTATAGCAGCTAAGAGCTCCACACGGCCCCTCAGAGAGGCCCTCACTCCCCCTCCGCACCTCCTGGCCAGCCACGAGCGCCCGTTAGTGGGCTAGACATCCCCCTGGGAGAGTGTGTGCTGGAGGTAGAGAGGCACGGTGATGCCTGAGAGGTGGTATGAGCTCATCCTCCAAAAATAGTTGTAAGTCCAAAGATGCCGTCAGACTTGGAGAATCAGAAAATGGAGGAAAGGCAGAAAAATCGAAGCAAGCCTGCCGGCGTGCACCTCGGGGGAGTCAGCGTGTCCACATGCACTATTGATTCATTTAAGTTTTTGTCAGATCATCAGATGTCCGTCTTGTTCCGAGTCAGGATTCGCTTGAACACCACAAAAACAATTTACTGATTTTACAAGATGGCCTTCTTTGCGCATATTGCATGTTTAGGAAAACAAAGGCAAAGGAAAAATACAAATAAAAAAAAAAACACTAAAACTCCCAAACAAGTGCAGGAAACACTGAAAAAACTCCACAAAAACAGAAATGCACCAGACCACGAGGGGACCACCAAGTCACCTGAGATCCAACGCTCTGTAAAGACTAACAGGATGCCTTATGATGGAGCTTTAGGGCCACATTAAAAAAAAAAAAAAATTAAAAGCTATAAAATTACAAGAATAAACTCAAATTAAGTCTTACAAGACTTCTTTTATTTACAGCTCTCGTTTATTTATTTATTCATTTTTCCATGAGTCGGATCCATACGCAACTTGTCGATCAATCCAGTAGGCGTGTCAGCAAATGACCAATCTGAAGCTAAATGCTCCACCTGCAGAGCTGCTGCTGCAGCCCATCAGAGCGTACCACCTTATTGTCAGCAGGTTCACAGTCCTAATACTGATAATAATCTGATGCTGATGTGCTAACAGATTAACTAGCTCCTTATTTGTAAAAACCTATACCAAAGTATAACTTAACAAGATGCTCAACATTTTTCATTTGACCACATTTAAAATGCGGAAAACCCTGTTTCATTGTGTCGGAGTTCAGATAATATTACGACTCATTTAGCTTTGGATTGGGCATTTGCTGACACGCCTACTGGATTGATTGACATGACGCGTCGTGGATCCAACTCATGGAAGAAAAGAAAAAAAGAGCGCTGAAAAAAAAAGGCTCCTACGACTTTATTTTCATAATATTACGACTTTATTCTCGTAATTTTATGGCTTTTTTTTTCTTAGCGTGGCCCTAAAGCTCCATCATAGTAAGACAGATGAGGGAAGAAAGAAGTATTTCCAGTTGTTGTTTTTTTATTTTATTTTGGGGGTTGGGGTTAGTGTTTTGGATATTTGAAGCATTTTTCCTTTGCATTTGTTCATTGATGCGTTTTTCTGTTGTATTTGTTTTTTGTGTTTAGGAGTTTGCATCATTCATGTGTCTGCAGCACCTTTCTCTGTTTGCATTGCTTTTAGCCATTTGTGGTGCATTTAGCTGTTTGCTGTGCATTTCATCTTTGCTATGCATATGTACCTGACGGTGCTCGCAGTTTCAAATCACTCAACTTAAATTAGTTTGACTTCTGTAAGCTGTTTTTTAACTTTACTAAACTTTTTGCCAAAAGCCTACCAGAGTTTTAACTGAAATCATCTTATGTTGAGGAATGATGCAGTTTTATCTGTTTCGGTCAAATCTTGAGAATATCGTTATGCACAATACAATCCATAACACATATGTTTTAAATATTTCTCAACTACTATCACGCCACATTTTATCTCAATATCTGAGTAAATGAACGACGCAGGTTCAATAATCCAGATTGATAACTCTAAGTCAGGCCCGCTGGACGGATTCTTCTTTGTTGAAACATATTTCATATATCATCCAAAAGACTTCTTCAGTCTGAGGAGCTGCACTATGAGAAGGTGCCGCTTATAAGACTGAGTTTTCTTGCAGCCCCCCCCCCCCCAAAAAAAAAAGTATAACAAGAAAAAACAAGTAAAATGTATCAAAGTTCATGCTCTATTGAGCCAGGTAGAAAATCCACCAGTGTTCAGTCAGGTCATCTGGATGGTTTCTTTTTCTGTTGAGACATTTCAGCCTTCATCCAAAGGACTTCATCAATCCGAGGTGCCACAAATAAACAGAGTCCCACAAACAGCACCTCCACACAGAGGACAAACCAGTTTGCTGATGATAAGCTGGCTTCCGGGGCCCGCCCTCTCCCCCGTCTACTCCTCGATTGATCGATGAAGTCCTTTTGATGAGGGGCGAACTGTCTCAACAGAAAAAGAAACCATCCAGATGACTTGACTGAACTTTGTTGGGTCCAAAATAAATTGAAAGTGAACATTTTTTCTTGTGTTTGTTGAAATGCCCTGCGTGAACAAAGTCATGAAATATTGTGTAAATCAGAGAAAACTTCTAAAACTGTCAAATTCAACTTGAACACAATAGGAGGGTTAAAAAAGCAGCGTTTCTTTCTGTGGCGGAGTCATGAGTGGAAATAACCAACATATATTTTTGCCATTTAAGAGCTTCATAGGTTCATAGTTGATTTAAAGTGTTTAGTTTCTCTTCGCTACAAACAATCCTTACATGGTTTTTAGCTCGTACGTCTCTAAACGTGCTTTGAGTTTTCTTTAGAAAATCCACAGAGAACATGACAAATCCTGTAACTAACTACTGGCTAAATAACACAAATCTAAACAGTCTAATGATCCGTGGGTGGGTTTTCACTTGTTTGCTGATTATTTATGAGCACCCTGCCCTCCTTCTTGTTTCTGGACCCACAACAAAGTACTTTTGTCTCTCCTGGGTGTGGGCGTGCAGACACAGTAAACATCCACTTCCACACTCATTTCTCACGTGTCAAAGTCTGCCTGAACGTGAACGGGGAGCGAGCAGCCGGGACTGTGAGGTGTGTGACTCCATTGAGTTCGTGTCACACTGCAGTGCGGCGATAATCTTCGCAGTCGTAAACAGATGCTGGGAGGCCAGAGACCGCGCAGTAAACACAGTCGTTCTCCCCGGCGTGCAACGGGCGCGGTGCATAAACACACAAACGCTCAAATGTAAAAAACACAAACACTGTGCAGTGTGATAAAATTTAACAAACTACCCCAAACACAAGTTGTGACTTTACCAAGGCTGTTGCTGCTTTAAACACACACGCTGGTTAAAACCCAAACCCTTCAGGACGGTTTGAAAGACAAAAAACAGACGTTCCTCCAAAACCGCTTCAAACTGACCAAATCTGGTTGCAGTCCTGGTGCAGCGGGTCGTGTTTTCGGTTCACAGCTAGTTCATCTTAAGTGAGCCAAGATCCAGGATCTGTCTAAGATTTACACCATCTGATTGGATCTGTTCTTCTAAAACTCATTAAAGATACAATCACTGCCTCAAACCACAGAAACGCCAAAATCCTGTCTCACTATCTGATCTGTGAATTCCTTTACTATCAGCTGATGAATCCAGCAGCACTGAAGAGCTTCTTCTTCTGCATCACCTGGTGTGTGTTCACCAGTAGCTCTGACGTTGACTCACAAACACTCTCAATGAGTCTTTATTTAGTTTTTGACAGAGCTGCTGTTGTAAATTCTTCACGCTCTGCTGCTTTGTGAAAAAAAACCATCAACTTTGCCCTGAAATGATAACAAGAACAATGTTATCACTCACTACTAACTCAGGGCTTTTCTTTAAAGTCTACATCCACTTTCTAGAACTACTATTATAACGGCCTGTCACCAAAAGGTGAAGGTGGGCGATAATGTTTTTGCCTCTCTGTGCATGTGAGTATTCATTGGTTTTCTGTTGCCATGGCTGCTTGGATCCTCATGAACCAGTAAACAGATTATCCATCC